ACAGAAACGATGAAAATGTGAAACTTCTAAAATTTTGTATAAATTTTTATTTATAGGTTACACGTCAATTTTTATAAATTATGCTCACCAGAAGTTGAATGTCGGACATGGAAGAATCGGCAGGACTGACTTGAAGAAACGGGTACATCCTATTTATACGTGTCGCATAAATGTGTTGGTAATCTTTCCATGTACACTCCGTGATAAAACTATAAGACACCCTACAAAATCATATATATCAGGACTGTACGAAGGAATTCGCTCCTCCTATCGGTGGATTGTTATTGTCTACTTTAGGACATATTCTTCTACAAAGTATTAGGCTTACGGTTCTCCGAATAAATGTAGGATTATAAAAACACCTGTAATGGCCCACGACAAAACTATAAAACAGTCGTTTAGTAATTACAGAAACTGTAAACTTCTATCGAAACACACAGACAGTGTTTGAAAAAATCAATTTTGAAATAGGCTTAATTTTTCAACTTTGAACATTTGCTGCACCCTGATCTTGTAGAAAAAGTTGTAATTATATTGGCAGAAATAAAAACGACGAACTCCGAAGGCGGCGTGGCCTTCCAGAATTGTAGACGTAAACTTATTCATCCATGCCCGGTTACATTATTCGTGCAAGCGAGAAGAGAAGCGTGCAAGAGAGAAAGAGAGTGGCAAGATCAGAGTTCGCGGAGCACCATGTTGGCGGAAACAATGACAGAAAGTAATCTTTTCCGACGGAAAATGTTCCGGTTTGAACGGGTCGCGAAAGGAGAAGATGATGTTGCAAAGGAGGCAAATGAGTGGTGGCGGAATTGTGGGAATATACATTACAATTTATTAATTGCAAAATGAACAGCTATAATTCTGTGAAAATCATCGGCAAATAGCAGACGGTATGGCCAGTATGCCAACCAAATAGCAAAACAAAAATGGATTTTTCAATAAAATAATGCAACCGTCCATAATTCATTGAGAATTGTTAGGGCACACTTCGCCAGGGATGTTGTATATGAAATGTCGGCAGTTCAGTCTTATAATTTTATCACGGGTGATCAAAGGTATTTCTATGAGCGTACATGTATTCGAAGAGCTGTAAGCCTAACACTTCGTAAAAGAACATCTAAGGTAAATGTTGACAATCTACTATCAGAAGAAACAAATTCCTTCATACTGATATGTATGATTTTGTAAGGAGTTTTATAGTTTTGTCGCGGAATATACTTATTTCCATATCTTATCAGGAAAGTTATCACCCTTTCTTTATATTCAGTAACCACTTATTAAACTACAAACTAAAGTAAATAAAGGCCTTAAGTAGACAATGTAATATTTTTTTTATAACGTGTTACTTCTATTATTCTATATAAAGTTTTCGCAAAAATTGGTTTTTATCTCAAACTATATCTTACTCATCAAATCTTTTAAACAACAAAATCATACTTATTATATTATAATATAATACTATATATAAACTAGATTATATAAACTAGAAAATATTATAATCGTGTAGGTTTTACAGTATACTACATTATGGATTTCGTATATTTCATTTTAAATAACTGCATAATGACAAAATAATTAATACATTCTTTTAACTGGGTGATAATAGATTAATGAACTGTAGTAGAAACAGAAATATTTTTCATCGCTATGAATTTCATTTTAAACAAAACTTACACGGTAGGTAATAATCGATGTAAACAGAAAATGTTATCGATGTAAACAAATACCACATGATCTGACGCGTATTGTAAATATTGATAACATATAAGTATTTAATATTGATGTTTATTACAAAGTCTTAGGTTACACTTATAATTAGGTAGAAGTTATATCGTCGTGGTATATCATTGTGTATGCAATTAAATTCTCAATGTACGTACATAATATTATAGGATTCAAACACTTTTCACTAATAAAATCGATTTTATGTGAATTGGTTAACGATAAATGATATGTATATTTAATGAAAGAACCGAAGCTGCTGCGTAAAGGTGTTCAATAATATTTATCCATTCGAATAGTAATTAGTAATTAATATTGTATTTTATTGGAAAATATGGTTTTCCGTGGACGCTCTTTCACTTTCAAGCTCATTAATATGGCTATTTATTTTATATAAATTTCAATTCATAAAATATTGTATATGTTTAAATCTGATAATGCGTATATATACATATAAAATTATCAATAAATTGACACAATTCAATTCGATTAGCGAATAATAAATTTTCGTAGAAGTACTTACAAATATCTACTAAAATGAAAGCAATACTAAACTACGATTATGACGAAAAATATGTAATTATTCTTTTGATTATCTAAATTATAAAATTCCATCCTTCTAACACCAGTTATAAACAAAGTTAAACATTTGTCAATACGCAGGAGTTAATTAATAGTTAAATATAAAAAGTTAATAAAACAATAATTGTTATTTCGTTTGGACTAATATATTAAATAATTATTCATAATCTTTCACACACTATATTTCAAGGTGTTCAAGACAGCTTCTGGGACAAGGAAAAGACTGAAGACAACGAACGTGATGAATATGTTTAACCAAGTCGTAAAAACAGATATTTCAGGAAAAAAGAAATTAATATATTTATTCCTTCTCTCAAGAATATTAAAAAGTTCAAGGTACAATGACAACACTTACATTTTTTTAAAATTTGCATCACTAATTATTGTGCAGCAACATAACTATTTCACTCCTTTCTTTCTGAAGTTAAATTATTTCACTCGTCGTTAATACATTCCACAGATGGAGAAAATGTTCGAACACACCAAGACACTGCAACAATCGTTGTCCTTTTTGCACTGTGTGAACATGAAAATCAAGATCAATTACATTCAAGATGAACATGTAAAATATACAGTACTTACTTTGCGGAATAATTTGCCACATTTACGTTCGAACTCTGTGTCTGAATTGTCAAACAGATCGTTTGACGAAACATCATCGTTACTTATCGACAATGCGTCGATAATAGATACAGTGATTAAGACGATTAAAACCAATATCAATAACTTTCTCATCTTTCACAATCGTTCCTCGTCTAAATATCCTGAAAACAAAGGAAACGATAAAGACAGATAAAGGTAAGAGTATAAAATTCAGTAATTTTAAACTGTTTTAAACTGTTTTACTAACATTGTCCAATAATAAAATATTTAACACATTCCTAATTTTATTTAGTTAAGATACATCTAAATAGTATGTACACTTGACTTCGAAGTAATAATATTCTTTATTCTTTGTGAAAAATAATATGTTAAAACTTCAACCGATTTTAAACTGTACAGAGTTACCAAAATTTATAGTTATAACTATTTCGCAGTACGTAAAATTCTTAATAACTGACATCGTATTAATTAATTGTTAAATAGTAATGAAGTAATAAACATTATTATTGCTACTTTTTGCTCACCGAAAGACTGGCAGATATGCTCTTGTTATTCACTTATTATGGACTGGTACTGGATCGTCATTTTCTTCATGTATATATATCGAAGTTGGCACAAGTGTTATGCCAGTAAAAATACACTATCACAAAATTACAACACAACGTTTTTGTAGTTGATACTACGTTCGCAGGTGCTAAATCATCCAACGATTGAAAATGAGAAAAACCTTGGAACAATGAAATTGATAAAACCGAAGTTTTATGATTTGCTAGTTAGCAACTTGTAAAAGTTACAAAAGTTAATGGTCATCAAACGCCAATGAAATCTCTTTGAAATAATCCAGAGGATATTCAGAGTTTAATCAGAAATTCAAATACAGTTGATCTCCAAATAGAGATTTCGACACGTTTATGCTCGTATGTGACGTAAATTTGTCGATGGTTTTTGTCAATTAATTTGGTACACATCATTTAGGAATAAATATTATAATTTGAACAGATGTTGAGATTATAATCTTATTTTTTATTAATTAATTATTAACGACAGAAACATTTACCTGTTTTTAAGAACATCATTGAACACAACGAATATTCATAAATTACCAAATTTTAAATAAAGTTAAACAATTGTATTTTTATTCTCATTTTTCCAAATAATTTAAACATTTAAAACATTGAAATTACGGATCTTGTTGTATCTATATCTTTTCACGCTCTATCTATTATTTTTTGTTAATGACAATTAACACATTCCTACTCGATTGAGAATTTTACGCGTTATTTCTTAATCTTCTTCTGAGAATTTTTAAACAGTAGGATATTTAAAACTAAATTCGAATAAATGGGACTATAAATGTGGAAGGAAGAGAGTAAAGTGCAAAGAAAAGTATATTTCTTCAATCGTGTATTGTAAATGCTGCGTTAATATTGTAAATATAATGCATATATTCGTATAAGCAAATTATAAAGAAATTCGTAGGCCTACGAAGTACAATCAATATGGATCAATCATTTATTCACATGGCATCACCAGCAGGTGGCTCGGCTGGATCACTGGGTGGGTTTGAAGAGCTTGGTGGACCGGGTTTCTTAGTGCACCGGCCAGCCCATGGGTTGCATTGCAACGTTGGACAGCAATCTGCGTCACTCGAGCACTACGGCAATTTAAATATTACTATTAATAAATTGTTATTAATTACTGAAATACTAACTCTGTATAAATTAAGTTACTTATAAAATCAATTTATATATAAATTTAAATTAAATTACACAATTTATATCAAACAACAAACAAGTTATATATAAACTGTATTTAATTATTATAGAATTAAAGTATCTACTATTAAAATTAATATTCTTACTAATTACCAACGTTGAAAAAATTAGCTGATCAAAATTAATAATTTAAAACTTCCAATAGGTAATTTTTAAACATTATTCCATATTTTAAATTTCGTTAGAACATTCATGCTATGTAAAACTATCTACTCTTAACCTACGTACAATGACAGTCATTTCATTTGGTAGCCCTTTTTACAGTTTAACATTTTCTTCGTATATTTTCAATTGATTTATGTTTACATAACTCCTTTATTTCAATACTTTTTGTGCCTCAGCGCGATGTCATCAAATTGGCGATGCAACTCAGGGACGATTTCACATAAAAAATAGGACGGAAATGCAGTACACATATAAATTCGTTTGTGTAAATGTTTTGCCTTCGAATTATTCGATTTTGAAAATACAACGGATACACGTGCACTAGCGCGTCACTTGTCTCACGTTTCTGTTCATTGTTTATTGTCCCATTTTTGTTATTGTTCATAAATACTGACAATAGTATGATATTATTTGTTTTGCACAATAACTTGATATGAATCAGTAGTTAGGAGATAACAAAATCGGTCGAAAACGATCGATGTCGTATCATCATCGATGTTTATTTCGAATATTGTACATATAATGAATAATAAACTAATATACTTCGATATTTTAAAAAAAAAACAGA